CTCTTTTTTCTTCTCCCCCTCCCTCCCTTTCTTTTTTTTTTCTTCTCCCCCCTTCCTCCCTCTTTCTTCCCCCTCCCTCCCCTACCTGTGTGGTAGTGTGGTAGTGTGGCCGAGCCCAGTATAGTCCGACCGGTACAGGGAGCTGTTGTTTCCTGTACCCAGCCGGACTAACAGGAAGTGAACACTCAGTGTTCACTTCCTGTTAGTCCGGCCGGGTACAGGAGACAGCTGCTCTCTGTACCGGTCGGACCATGCCATACAGGGCTCGGCCACGCTACAGTGAGGGAGCTGACAGGAGGGAGCGCTGAGCGCTTCCCTCCTGTCAGCCCCTCTCCTCAGGCTGCGCCCGGGCGGTGCGGTCCGCCCTCATGGACGCATCGCCCGGGCAAAGCTGCAGCCGCCTGAGGCTCTTTACAGAGCGCTCGGGCGGCTGCAGCATGAGCGGGGCAGGCGCTCCTGGCGGCGCCCCCTCCCAAGGGGCGCCCTAGGCGACTGCCTAGTCCGCCTTACAGGTAGCGCCGACCCTTGATACAGTTACCACTCCATTGATCAGCAGCTGAGAGTAAGAGAGAGAGGGTGTGTACAGTGGGGAGAGGGGAGAGAGGAGAGAAGGTGAAGAGAGGTAATTCAAAAAGAGAGAGAATGTGCTATTCACAGGGCTTTAAACAGGTTAGTCCCTCCTTCTGCTGGACACACCTCCCTTAGTCAATCCCTTAGGATGTAACAGAACCAGAGTGCCTCCTGGGGGAAGGGGGATTGCATTGGAAGGGAATGGAGGAGGAGTTTATCAACAAACCAACTGATTTTGCCTGGTGAAAGGCCATGTGCTTCACAGAGGACTCCATTATTGCCTAAGGGTAGAATGGGGGCTTGAATCCCTGTATTAGAACACAATAACACTTCATTGGCATACAGTTTGGCTGTTAATCACATCCCCCCACTTATTACATCCCTCCTATTGGCAATGAAGTGGATGAGACACTTAGACTCTATAAAACCCACCAGAGATAAGAGAGAGAGAGAATGCATCCTGCAGTGTATCTACTTATGTGAATGCACAACCCATTGCCTCAATAGAGCTCTTGCCATTTACATATCATATTGGAGATGATATACTGTGGCAATCAATGACTTCAAGTAACAACACATACCAACCTGATTAAAAATGCATACTACAGAAAACACACAATACAATAATAAATGGGTGAATTAATACATTTTCTACGGCAGTACCCTATGATGATTGGTTTCGGAAGTGAGTTTTTTTTTAATTTTTTATTTCTTCCACCAGGTAGTACTAGCCATGTCAGTAAATAAATGTTCAGTTAGTTAAAGTTCTTGTTGTTGATGAAAGAATTCAGCACAGGTTTGTTGATCCTTCTGTGTCCAATCCTCCATTAAAGTATTGATAGTTCTCTGAATTTAACACCCTCAGACTGGAGTGTTGCAGTCATACTATATATATCAATTATATTTACAAAACCCAACCCAGTACCCACACCTCCCAGAACCGTACCCAAGACAACCCTCCTATTCCTAGTTCTACTTCTTGTCACGCATCTGACTAAAACCTTATTAATAGTGGATGTGACCCTAGAACAGTTCTGAAAGTGTGATGAAACTAGTCAATCTGTTAGTCGAATCAATTGGAAAGTAATATTCCTGACTATAGGGGTAGGTCTCAGTATACAAATTGGGAAATTACCACTAGAGACCACTCTAATCTCCTAACACTCAGGTCTGCTCCCATTATCCATTAGTGAAGGAGTTGTATGAATATAGGTGAAAGGAGGAGTCAGGAATATAGGCTCTATCTCTTCCTCTACATTCAACAAGACCTTCACTTCCCCACCCTTATTGTGTCCTACTGTTCCCCAATTTATCCCCTTTATGATTAATGTATCCACTATAATTTGTGTTATATGATACTCTCTAAGATTGCTGTTAACATTATAACTAGGGTTAGTAACATTTCATTTCATATTAATATTTCCTCCCTCCATATCTACAACCAGTTTTCCCCAACCAGTCCATATTCATTCCCATTTTCCTCAACCAGACCATATACATTCCCATTTTCCTCAGCCAGTCCATATACATTCCCAATGTTCTTAATTTCCCTTATTGTCTTTTCCAAAATCCCTTGAAAGAATCACGTTGCTTTAGCCAAACAATCTTGACCGCCCACCCAAAATTAAATGTCACATCTACATATGGAACTTGTAGATTGTCACTGCTGTCCTCTGTTAAGTCTTTGGTAGATCGAGCTGCATTTGCATAGATACAGCTGTTGTTGCTTTGGCCTGTGATAAGCTGTTCCATCAATTGTGAGTTTTAGCATGTTGAGTAACATCCATGTCTCGGTACTTTTGGAAAAATCTGTAAGAAATCAAGAAGGCGTATCAGTTCTTAGCAGATAACTCTGTACCTGGGGAACAAGCCCCTTTATATAATTTACGTTGGTCTACATGGACTGACTTATAGGATTACATAGGGCTCTTCCCAATTTGCATCCCAGGGATAATTTTGATAAAATGTTTAATCTTTATTACGCCTACCCCCCTTTCTCAAACAGAGTTTGAGGAGTAGACACAATTTTACAATTTGTTGGGGCCATATATGAGACCCCCCTTGGACAGTGTAAGTGCACCTATGAAATCATTCTGTATTGACTTCCAGGGGCTGTCTGCAACTGGCACTCTCTGATGCATAGGCCTTTGTTGCTTAGGGCATGGATATAATTTAACATAACAACCCTTCTTTTATAGAATAACCACTTGAAGTGTTTGATGGTTCTGTAATAAAAGAGAAAGATTAGGATTCCTATTCAGTTCTGCTTTTAAATCTGGCACTTCTGAACCTTTATCAACAATCTTGGCTATCAGTAATTAGTTCTTTGCATGCTCCTCCCATGCTTGTTGTACCTCAGGGTCTTTTACATGTAAATGCCGTTGATCTCCATCTAAGACAGTCTCCTTTGCTAACAAATTCAATCCTACCTTTGAATGAGTGTTTACTGCTGACTGGATGGGGTGCTTTAGTCCCCATTCAACCAGTTTCCCAAGATTCCATAGGGACAGAGAGTTTGATCTGGTGGCATAAGCAATGTCACTATGGATACAAATAGGGCGTGTGCCAAATTCCTTTGAAAAAATTACAAGTCCCAAAAAAAAAATCCTTCTTCAAGGATTGCTTGTTAAAAGGTCTGGGGACTTGTAAGATTGCTATCACTCTTTAATTGGGCAGCTGTGATAGCTACTCCCAAAAATTTTACCTTTTGTGTGAGCAACCTTTGAAGTGTTTAGCTTGCCTCCAGGATTATGCAATTAAGTAAAAAAAATTCCATTAATAAATTCATATGTTATTGTTTTGCCCCAGAAGGGAGACTTAGTGATAGGTCAGTAAGTCTCACTGAAGCTCCTGTGTTAGTCCAATTCTTAGTCTGTTGCTTTGCCATGATTTCATTCACGTAAGGGCGTCCTGCATGGTCCATAAATGTGTTACAAATAGGAACCATGCCATCCAGTTATAGTTATTCCAAAAATGAAATCAGAGGAACTTCACCCTCTTCATTCATTTTAGAATTGCTAGTCACTGTTCCCTGTACAGTCATCACTCTCAGAGCCTCCCGCGCAGGACCGTATAGATTGGTTTTAGGCAGGGGGTGAGAATGGCGTCCCTGACCTGTTTTATCCGGGTGTTTATTTCGGTCAATCTTTTCAT